GTGTCGGTGTGTGTCTGTGTGTGTGTCGGTGTGTGTCTGTGTGTGTGTCGGGTCACCGGTTACCGGACGCTGCTCAGCTCTGGTTTCACCGCGGGTGAACGACGGGATGATTCACGCGCGCTGTTTCACATCAAACTCCGCGCGCAAACCGACATCTGTTTCCGGTGACGGGGCAAAGCACATAGATGTTCTATTAAAGACAGAGGGGAGAGGTCTCACTCTGCCTCAGTTTCAATAAATTCCTCAGATTTATTTTATCCTGAAATCTTTTCATAATTCACTTCAACAAATAAAAAAGATTTAATGGAATTATATAAGTTTACTATCACACCAAAGTAAAATAATATATCAACATTGTGGTGTTTTTTTACACTCTGCATTTAAAAATAAAGATAATAAGTTTATTCTTATTTCTGCTCCTTTTTATTCAGGCCTGTTTTTCTGTTTTGTTTCTTTGGTTTTTGACTCTTGTATAAACTGATGTTTTTCAGATGAATTTAGTTTTTTATTTATTGTGTTGTGAATGAAATAAAACTAAACTAAAATAAGTGCTGTGTTTAAAAACACAGACTGCAGTATTTTAAATACTTGTTACCAACAAGCAGCTCGGTTAGTTAGGTTAGGTTAGGTTAACTAACCAAACTGTTGTTTTTCTACATCAAAGGCGTAAAGTCACGTGATGACGTCACACTGACAGGAAGCGTAGAAGAAGAAGTTTGCGCATGCTCAGTGTGGTTCTGTGTTCCGGTTCTGGAGAAGATGGCAGCGCCGGTTGATCTGGAGCTAAAGAAGGTACAGTTAGCCTCTGTTCACCTGTACAGGTGTGTTCTGAAGTTACCTGAGCGTCACGTGATCTCTGTCTGCAGCTGCTAACCGTTAGCGCATGGGAGCTACTCTGTTGAAACATGACGTCATGTTCAGGCGTGTGTGCGCGTGCTGGGAGCTGGCAGGTGAAACTCAGTTCACCGGTAGATTAAGCGGCAGTAGCAGCTGCTGTAGCAGCTGTAGCACCTGAAGCTGTGCAGAGAAAAGTATTTTACTAAATTATTTATATCAAGTAAATAAATGTTTTAATTTCACTGTAAGTCAGAGTGAATTAAGTTTACCTGTTTTTACCTGTCTGACTAATGTCTGAACAGGTGGGCCAGGTGAACACAAACACCCACCAGGTGTTTTATGACTGACAGGTGACTTTATGACTGACATGTGACTTTATGACTGACAGGTGATTTATGACCGACAGGTGATTTATGACCGACAGGTGATTTATGACCGACAGGTGACTTTATGACTGACAGGTGATTTATGACCGACAGGTGACTTTATGACTGACAGGTGACTTTATGACCGACAGGTGACTTTATGACCGACAGGTGATTT